GAATAGTCATGTTGAAACCATTGAAACATTGTTTCTGCTCACCAATTGGTACAAGTTTTTCTATAAATAGAGATAATTGTTAGGCATAAAATATACACAAAAGTTATTTGTTTCAAGTGTCAAAAATTATATCTAAGTCATTTTATTTTTCTAGTGTACGAGAATAAATAAGGAAACTTTATTCAGTAAAATATTATTAATCGATATGCTTAATGTGAATGCACCATTCATGTTAAGGTTTCTAAAGTATCTTGAAGGGGATTTACCGGTTAACCCTTTTGCATCTAATTTGCATAAATTGGTGGGGGCGAATCGAACCTAAAATTTAGTGTAAATACACGCTTTGAAATTATTTGTGCAACTTTTATCGTATCGTCTTCATCATCTTCTTCTTATTCATGTTTTGCAGCAGACCCCTAACACAAGATCTAACAATCTTTAGGTTTGATTTTCGATTTTGATCCATACTTTATTTATAATTAATATTAAAGTATGTAATTTTAAAGAAGATGGTAGCAACTTTTAATGTTGTGAAAGGTACACAGTTAACTCATATAATTTTTAAAATTGTGGAATTTTGATTTATGAATCTTTTTGTTTATGGTTAATTTGTGACTACGACGAAGAAATGAACACCCGTGCTTTCTTATTCATCAATATAGTGAAAGGTATATAATCATATTAAATAAATATCATTTGTATGATCTTTTAAATTCATGTAAAATATGTTAAAAATAATATTTATTTATGTTAAGTTTAACATATGGAATAGATTTATATATATGCATGATTTATAAATTATTCAAGTATGTGAATTTGAATAATTAAGAATATGTTTGATTTATGGTGTATACGTGAATATAAAATACATGTTAAATATTATTTTTGGTGCAAGTAATTTGTTTTAATTAATAATGCATAAATTTTAGATAAACTAATTTGGTGGGAAAAAAAATCATGAATTTGAATATATGGTTCATGTATTGGTAACATTAAATGTTGTAAATAAAATGTTAGAAATATCAAGGATATGTTTAAATTGCATTTTACTTTTAGCAAGAATTTATTAAATTTAAAATGATGTATCTCATATTATATGTGTATCATAATATGAAAGTATTATTTTTGTTCATCCTGATATTAAAAGTAATTTTGACATATTTTAAGTTATTGTAAGTTGACAAATTTTATAGAGAAAAATTATAGAAAATATTAATGATGTGAATTCATTGTTTACTTTGTATTGTGATTTTTATTTGGATGTACCATAGAACATTGTTAAATATGAAACATGAATTTATCAGGTAAAATTTGTTATGCATATTAGTTATGTAAGAAAATTGTTTATTTTAAAAGAATAGAAATGAATTCTATGGTGGTGTATTTATATGGAGTTTGTGAATTACATGTTTGAATTCACTTCATGAAATAAAAGTTACTCATGACAAATTTGTTTGATCGTGGTTATCGATTGTTATCAATATTTAATAAATTAAATACATTTAGAATATATTTAAGTGGAAGTAAAACTTCAAATTAAAATGATGTTAGCAAATGAAGAATGACATAAAATTTATGTATATGACAAAAGTGTCATGATGATAGTTTATGGAAACTATCAATAATATAAAACATATGTTGTATATGAAAATTGTACTAATATGACAAAAATGTTATGATTTGATGGTAGATGGAAAATACTATCAAGAGTACATAAAGTAATCATATGCATGATTAGTTGAAAAATCGAATATTCGAAATTTATTAAAGTTTGGAAAAATCTTGCAATTCTTTGGCAAAATGATTGACAAAGATATGATGTCTTTTGATATAATTGAATACAATGAAGACATAATTATGGATGTGGAATAAGCCCGTATCTAATTAATCATCAATAGTGGAAACTCGACTTACACTTGATTATTGTTAAGTCTTGAGTTCAATGATGAAAGTACATTATTAGAGTTATTGAAGTACTTAATGATAGATACTTCCAATGGGGTAAAAGTACTTGGACCATAAGAATAAGTGTGGTAGGATGAGGTTTTCCTCTTAATAGACCTATAATATATATTTGCTAAAATGCATAATTATGAGTGCATTTCTAATATAGTCTACCTATATAAGAATGAAGTGGTGTCGCTTCATAGAGTTCAAGGGCTTGTCTATTAAATTCTCATGAAAAGGATATGAGACACAAGACCTTATTAAATGTGTCATATTAATAATTCGATCAATGATAGCGAGATTTCATGTGTGAGTTATGCACGCTTGTTTTAATGAATAATTGGTTCAATAAATAATAATGGTTAAATTAACAAAATAAATGGCCAAAAGTTGCAATTGTTTAGATTAGAACCAGAGACACTATAATGATTGGGCGCGTGGTTATAAGGTGCAACCATTAGATCAACATAACTTTTCATGAAATAGTTTGCTATTATTAATATACAATGGTTCGCGAATGACCATGTTGAAACTATTGAAATATTGTTTCTTCTCACCAATTGGTAAAAGTTTTTTTATAAATAGAGATACTTGTTAGACATAAAATATACACAACAATTATTTGTTTCAAGTGTTAAAAATTATACCTGAGTCATTCTTTTATTTTTCTAGTGCACGAGAATAAATGAGGAAACTTTATTCAGTAAAATATCATTAATCGATATGCTTAATGTGAATGTGCGATTCATGTTAAAGTTTCCAAAATATCCGCAAGGGGATTCGCCGATTAACCCTTTTGCATCCAATTTGCATAAACTAGTGGAGGCGAATTGAACCTAAAACTTAGTGTAAACACACACTTTGGAATTATTTGTACAACTTTTTTCGTACTGTCTTTATCATCTTCTTCTTGTTCATGTTTTGCAGCAGACCCCAACACAAAATTTAACAAATGAAATATTTGTGACTCATACAATTTAATTTTTATAATTAGTAGAACTTTTTAGAATCGAAGTAAAAAAACTTTACGAAATTCGAACTATAATTTTAAAGCTCAAATTATATGTTTTATTGGGGTTTGGGGTCGGCTTATATATAATTTTAAGGAAGAATGTGCAACTTTACCATCTTCACTATTGTTGTAATTGTATTAATAATAAGTTAAAGTTTAGTTGTTTAACTTTGTCTTCCTATTTTTAACTAACCAATTTACTTATGGGACAAACACACACATATTTTATTTATCTCATTAGTTATTACTAACAAAACTTCGTATGTTTTAGATTAATTTAAACAAATTAAAATAAAATTGAATAAAAATACAGATTTTACACAAATATAATTGAAGATTTCATATATTAATAGACACAACTTACGCTTAACAAACTTAAAAAATAGAAGAAGGTACAATCTTAACCTTAAAGAGAGAAATAACCACTAAATAAATACTTATTCAAATGCTGTTATATTAATAAAATAATCTAAATCTTTTAAAATAAATCACATAATGTAAAATTGTAAAATAAAATTAATTATTAATTATAAATACTCAATAACAAAACAAATAATTATGTGATTAATTATTTTTATATAGAAAGTTATTATTGAAAACATCAATAAACAATTAAAATTAAAAATTTTATTAAATTTTTTTTACAATTTTTAAGATATTATTTTTACTTTTAATTCTTAACTTGTGTTTTTAGAATACAAAATGACAAAAGTTATTGATAAACAAAAACGATCTTTAAAAATTTTTTATTTTTTAAAAATATATTAAAGAGAGATTTTAGAGTTTCGAAAAGTTTGTATAAATTCTTCAAATACAATCTCTATTGATCTAGTCTAAAACACACTCAAAATTAAAAATAAATTAATCATAATCATTTATTTATTTTTTTCTACATTTTCAAAAAATAAAATCTTCCATATTTTCCCTCCTCTCTTCTTACTCTCAAACAAAACATAAAATTTATCTACATTCTCCATGAAGACAATCAAGAAAAAATTTTATGGTCAAGTTGGAAATTTCTTCCAACATTGGCATGATTATACACATTGGTTCTCATCCTAAAGTGAGTTTCTCATCCTAAACTGAGCCACATTCTTGCAGTTGGTGCTACAAAAATTATATTTTTTAAAACTGTAGTTAGAGTTGACTACAAGTTTATCAAAACTTAAAAAAAATGAAAAAAAACATATATATGTCATCCGTATTCTACAAAAATCATAAAAAAAAATAAAAAAAAATAGAACAAGACAATAAAGAGAGGTTGAGCTAAAAAAACCTTAACTTAAATCACAAAAATAATAAGTTAAACATGTGTTATGCATATCCAATTCATCCATATTACTACTTTTAATTAATTTTTTTAATCCTTTTATTTAAAAAAAAAACAAAACTTAACATATTATCCTCTTGTCATAAAATAATCATGAGACTTTATTTATAAAGAAATTACTCTTCCTCCAATTTTTACTTATAAAAAAAGTACAATAATATCTCTCTTAAAAAATAGTTAATATTTGTAATAAAGATATTTTCGGCGATAATTATTTATAGCTAAATCAATATAATATATAAATGAGATCCTTTATTTTGGTGTGATATATTTTTTTATCATTTTTATTTTTATTTTATTGTGTAATTTTTTTAATAACTTTATATTATTAACTTTTAAATAATTTTTTATTATTAACTTTTATATATTATATTTTTTAAAATTTTTATTTAAACAAAAATTATCATTTATATTTCGTCAATATCTATTAAAAAATAGATAAACTGGCACGCGAGCATCTGAACGCTAGTCCTGATAATAGGATAAGAATCCATGTCATGCAATAACATTAAAAAAAATAAATAAATAAAGAAAAATCACCATCATCATCACCATAAACTAATCAAACCGTAACCGTTGAATTTCGTTCCTTCCCTCGTGACAACTTTCAAACGCCAAAAAAGAAAAAACTCTATGGCGAGTAGTGGCGCACCACGAATCACTTCTTCCAATTCCAACTAACCGTGATTCCCGATTTTCAAATCTAGAATCATGTTCATCGAAGCAACACGGAGATTTACTGTTTTGTCCTCCCATCTCAACCCGACCCGTTTGGCTTCGGATCAACGCCCTTTTCATCTATCCGGTTCGGGTTGTTCATCTGGTTCCGATTCCGAAACGCGATTGGGTGATATCAAGAATCAGAGTTTGGTACATGATGATTGTGTCTTCTGCAGCATCATTCGTGGTCAATCTCTTGCCGTCAAGGTTTTTTTTCCCTCTCTTTTGATTATTTATGTAATTGTGGTTAAGATTAAACCTATTTGGAAAATTTTGATTAATAATTAATAGTAATATTTTGACTTTAATTTGATCTTTATTAAAGAATGATGGTATTTGATATCAATTTGGGGATAATTCGTTTTAGTCAATGATGTAAAACTATCATCTAAGTGGATTTCTCTCCTTTAATAGTCAAATTCTTAGTTTAGAGTACAAAGAAGTAAGATATCTCAATGAAAAATGAGAAAATTCAACGGTTACGATTTCATTAGTTTATAAGTGTTGTGTTAGGGTCGGTCTCTCGCATGGACACAAATGCACCTTTTTTTAGAGGTGTCGGTTGCTTATGTTAGAGGAGCCTGATCTTATTTTTAACATATTGTACAAACACTATGTTGGTTTGATCCATGTAGCCGGTTGCACTTAGTGGGATAAAACTTTGTTGTTGTTGTATTGTATAGACACTACTCATCAATGACTAAGATCTCTTGTTTTACTTTCTAAAGTGAATTGTTCATTTTAGAATAGTGAGAGAATGTTGAGGTAGCACCTATAGTAGAAAAGATGATGGAAAATAGACTTTGGTGGTTTGAGTGTGTAGAGAGAAAACCTATAGATTCCGTGGTAAAGAGAGTAGATCTGATGGAGAGGAGTCAAGCGGCTAGAGGTAGAGGAAGATCTAAAAACAGATAAGAAAAGTTATTCTGAAAAGTCTCAAGATTAACAATTTGGATAGAAACATGGTTTTGGATAGAACATTATGACGAAAGTTGATCATGTGGCTGACTTTACTCAGTGGGATAAGGCTTGGTTGTTAGTGTAGTATAATGAGAGAATCCATTTTAAGTTTGAGCAAACTAATTACCCCAACTTCTCGGGTTGATATGTTGTATAAGTGAGTAGATAGATACATTAAGTTTTTAAAAAACGTGAATTAATGACATTGGTTAATCACTTCATTGTTAGAAAAAGTAATAACGAGGCCTGATGTCTAAGTCTTATAAATGCTAAGTAATAATTGCAAAGGCCTTTGATGGAATTGAATATTATGCTTTTAAATTGGAAAGTATGGAATATTGTGTTTATCTAGTATAGTTTTTTAGTAGTCTTTTAAGTCTGATTGATAGGAATCATCTTTGATAGGAGTTTCATCTTGAAGCTGCATTTTGTTTGATAAATAAATTGGAAAGTATGGAATATTGTGTTTATCTAGTATAAATTAATCTTGAAGCTGCATTGTTTGATAAATAAATTAATCTTAAGGAATTATCTAGTATTGTTTTGTTTCCAGAATTTGAACCATTTGTTGCTATTGGTTGAGGGCTTGCATATTTTGTGCATATTAACAAGATTTAGATATGGAATTTCTTCTTTTAAAAGTATAAAAGAGTGGAAAATACTGATTAAAGTGGAAGTTTTGTCAGCCATTAGCAACCAACTAGTTTTCTTAATTGTTGGATTTGATAAGTTTACTAGTTCAATTCAAGTTGTTGAATCAGCTGTCTATAAATGTTCGGCAACACTGCTGTAGCGCATAACATTAGGCTTCCCTTAGCTTTAATACCTAGGCACAAGGAACTATTTGAAATTGTGAATAATAGTACTCTTTAAAATCCTTCTAAACATGTCTATATTTCCAACCATGTGCTTAACATAAATTTGTTGTTATTGATTGGTACTAGTTATACTTGGTTGATGCTGTTGTACTCGTTAATTAGTAATTATTGATATTCAATCCAACCAAGTTTTCTCTTCACCTTAGCTCATTTTAATATCTTGTTACTCCAACAGCTTTATGAAGATGACATGTGCCTATGCATATTGGATACAAATCCGTTGAGTCATGGGTAAGGTATTATATGTCTTATGTGCAATCCCATATTCAAATGGTTTTTTTTTCTTCACGATTTTGGCTGCATGTACATTTGGCCATACACTTTGAAACAAGATATTATATATCTATTCAAGTTAATTTGGAACAGAAGAGAAAGGATAGTGATGTAAAGTTTTGTTTGAGAAGAACTCTGAAATATCCATTATTTTGCATTCCATTTTGAGCGATTTGGTTGAATGTTGGAGTTTGTCATTGGCATATTGGCTGATTAAGTAATCTTGCTACAAGCTCACAAACCAATTTTAATTTGCTTTTTCAACTATTCTGCATGACATTGTTTATCTATCTACTTCTCACATCTATATTTTGTTTACCAGGCACTCACTCATTATCCCGAAATCTCATTACCCTTCAATAGATACTACTCCTCAATCGGTAAGTAATTTTCAATAGGTACAAGGAGATTTAATATTATTTTAATTTTTATACCGGCTTCACTGATTTAATTTTTAGACAAATTCTTTCTTTGTCCATACTGAAAATTCTCTTACCAAGGTTTTTGTGTTAGATTTTGTCTAAAGTACATCAATTTAAATTAACATGGGTTTATTTTACATTACTTAATGCGTGCTAGTGCAGACATGTCTCCAAACTTGAAAACTCTGCTAAATTTAGTGTAAAACAGAAAGATATGCAAAATTGTGCGCACATGTTTTTTACATATACAAATTTGAAAAAATACTAATAAATGCGAGACAATGGTCTTGTTTATTTTCCTAGGCTGATTGGCTTATGGTAACAGGTGGTAGCTGCAATGTGTTCCAAAGTTCCCTTCATTAGTAATGCAATCATGAAGGCTACTGGCTGCAGTATGTAGCTTCATACTCATACATTATCTGAGTTTTGCTTTGTTTTGTTCTTATATATGGCTTAGACTTCAATATTTAAATATGACTCACTCATTTTGAGCACTCTGCCAGTAGATATCCTACGGATACCTCCTCATAATGCCTTTACTGACAACAATGGAGAAAAGTGATTAACTTTTGTTTATACTATACTCCCTTAGTCCCTAATCTTGTCTTTTTAGCTTTTTATTTTTAACCCAAAACTTTGGGGTAAGGATCCTTTCCATTTCTCAAAAGAAATAGACGTGTCAATTGCTATAGTTTTGATATAACATATTTTTAAAAATGGTGATCATAACTGTTGAAATACAAGAGACTAAGAGACATGAATAAACCGCGTGTTTTGAAAAGCACTACGGAGACATTATTGTATATAAATAGATTACAACTAATTACATAATATAGTTGATGTGGGACTATTCTATATACAAATATTCTTAACACTTTACATATATTTACAAATATCAACACTCCCCCTCAAGCTTGAGCATATAAGTCAAATGCACCAAGCTTGTTACATATATAGTTAGTTCTGGGGTTTCGTAGGGATTTTGTAAACACATCTGCCAATTGATCATTAGAGTTGACAAAACTTGTGACGATGTCGCCTGACTCGATCTTCTCTCTGACAAAGTGACAGTCTATCTCAATATGTTTGGTCCTCTCATGAAAGACTGGATTTGAAGCAATGTGCAATGCAGCTTGATTATCACAAATAAGTGTCATTGGTCTTACTTCTTCAATTTGAAGTTCCTTGAGCAACTGTTTTAACCAAATAAGTTCACATGTTGCCATTGCCATCGCCCTATACTCTGCCTCGACGCTTGATCTTGCAACTACATTTTGTTTCTTACTTTTCCAGGATATAAGGTTTCCTCCAACAAGTACACAATACCCAGAGGTGGATCGTCTATCAATGGGTGACCCTGCCCAATCAGCATCAGAGTATCCAATTATCTGGGTATGTCTTTTATCCTCATACACAAGACCTTTTCCTGGAGCACATTTGATGTATCTCAAAATCCGGATAACAGCATCCATATGTTCCTGACAAGGGGAATTTAAGAACTGGCTTACCACACTGACTGCAAAAGAAATGTCCGGACGAGTGACTGTGAGATAATTCAACTTTCCAACCAATCTCCTATACCTTCCTGAGTCAGATAGAGGCTCCCCCTGATTGGGTAGTAGTTTAACACTTGGATCCATAGGAGTATCGGCTGGTTTAGCATTTAACAAACCTGTTTCTTCCAAAATATCCATAGCATATTTCCGCTGAGAAATCACCAAACCATCTTTAGATTGGGCTACTTCAATACCCAAGAAATAACGGAGTTTACCAAGATCTTTTGTCTGAAATTGTTTCGAGAGATGTTGTTTCAACTGGAGTATTCCCTGCTGATCACTACCAGTTATGACAATGTCATCTACATACACAATAAGATAAATACACCCTTGGGGTGAGTGACGATAAAAAACAGAATGGTCAGCTTCACTACGGATCATACCAAACTGTTGTACTACAGTGCTGAATCTGCCAAACCAAGCTCTCGGAGATTGCTTAAGACCATAAAGAGACCTGTGTAGCCTACAAACCATATTCGATGACTCCCCCTGAGCAACAAACCCAGGTGGTTGCTCCATATATACTTCCTCTTCAAGATCGCCATGTAAGAATGCATTTTTGATGTCAAGTTGATGAAGAGACCAATGTCGAATGGCTGCAATGGCTAGAAGAAGTCTAACAGATGCCATCTTGGCTACAGGCGAAAAGGTATCACCATAATCCAACCCAAAAATTTGAGTGTATACTTTGGCTACCAAGCGAGCTTTAAATCGATCAATCTTGCCATCTGGACCAACCTTCACTGTATAAAGCCAACGACAACCTACTAAAGATTTTCCATGGGGTAGAGGAACCAGTTCCCAGGTACCATTGCTTTGAAGAGCACACATTTCATCAATCATTGCTTGCCTCCACTCAGGGTGAGATAATGCTTCACCTGGAGTTTTAGGAATAGAAACAGAAGACAAAGAAGACAAACAAGTATACTGCAAAGGGGAAAGACGATGATAACATAAATCAATATAATGTGGAGAAGGATTTCGTGTTTGACGTATACCTTTTCGAAGGACAATCGGAAGATCAGACTCAGGTTACAGGATCGAATCCGGTGATGGCGAGAGCGTCGGAGGAGAGTCTGTAGTGACCTCAGGGACAGGTACAACTTCAGGGACAGGTACGACTTCAGGGACAGGTACAACTTCAGGGACAGGTACGACAGACTTTGGGTGACGACGCTGATATGTTTGAAGTGGGCGAGGAGTGGGAGGGTCAACCGTAGGGGTAACTAGTGGGTCAGGTTCCCTAGAATGATGGGGGATAATGACAGATGGGACTTCCGGAAGAGGTGTGGGAATACTTTCCCGTAGAGGTTCTGTAGTTACTTGGCTGGATTCGAAATATGGAACAGACTCGAAGAAGGTAACATCGGCAGATACGAGGTATCGTTGTAGAGTATGTGAGTAGCAACGATAACCTTTTGGGGATCGATGATAGCCAAGAAAGACACACTTTAGTGATCGAGCTGATAGTTTATCAAGACCAGGGGAGAGATTGTGTACAAAACACGTTGACCCGAAGACTCGAGGAGGAATTGGGTGGAGTGGAGAGTTTGGAAATAGGATTGAATGAAGGATTTTATTATTAAGGACAGATGAGGGCATGCGATTTATGAGGTAACATGCTGTGAGCACCGCATCTCCCCAAAACCGGAGAGGAACATTACCATGGAGAAGTAGTGTCCGAGTGGTTTCTACGAGGTGCCGATTTTTGCGTTCGGCTACCCCGTTTTGTTGGGGTGTATGAGGGCAAGATGTTTGGTGCAAAATACCATTGGATGACATAAATGTTTGAAATTGTTGGGATAAATATTCACGTGCATTGTCACTTCTTAGGGTACGAATAGATAAACCAAATTGGGTTCTTATTTCTCGATAAAATTGTTCAAAAATAGAAAACAATTCAGACCTGTTCTTCATTAAAAATAACCATGTGCAACGTGAAAAATCATCAATAAAGGTTACAAAATACCTAGACTCAAAAGTAGACACGGTACGTGAGGGACCCCAAACATCGGAGTGAACTAAAGCAAAAGGGGACGCAACCCGTTTATTGACTCGATCGGAAAAGTGACTACGAGTATGTTTCCCTAACTGACAAGACTCACAATGTAAAGTGGATAATTTAGATAAACTGGGCACCAACTTTTGTAGCTTGGGAAGACCTGGATGACCTAACTGCGCATGTATAATGAGTGGAGAATCTGTGGTGGAGCATGTGGTAGATGACGTAGAGAAGTAGTAGAGGCCTTGAGACTCACATCCGACGCCAATCGTCTGTCCCGAACTCCGATCCTGCAGAGTAACATTACTATTAGTAAAGGTGATAGAACAATTAAGGGAACGAGTTAAACGACTGACTGACAGTAAATTAAATGGGCAATTAGGTACATAAAGGACAGAAGTAACAGAGAAAGACGGTAAAATTTGAACAGTACCAATCCCTTGGGATCGGGTTTGAGAACCATTTGCGACAGTTATAATAGGCAAGAAACCAGAGGTAGAGAGGGAAGAAAAAAAGACCTTTATTACCAGTAACATGATCAGACGCACCAGAGTCAAGGACCCAAGGACCAAGAGGAGATGATTGAGAGAAGCAAACAGATGAATTACCAGTGTGTGCAACCGAAGCAGTGGAACCAGAGATCTGATTAGTCTGACACCATCTGAGAAAATCTTCGTAGCTTGGCGTAGGGTTCTGAATAGAAGGTGAAGTCTGGATAGTTTCTGAGTTATCACTTTGAGCTGCATTTACCTGGCGTGGGGGTTTGCCATGTAGCTTCCAACAACGGTCGATAGTATGTCCAAGCCGGTTACAATGGTTACACTTGGGACGAGGTTTGGAGTTGGATGACCCTCCTCGAGGGCGACTCTGATTGTTGCCCAGAGATGCGAGGGTAGCAGTGTCACCTGGTGTAGCAACAGTAGATGGAGGGGAAACTGGACCAAACGCATGAGGTGTAGCCAAGCGCAACAGTTGTTCACTAACTGCATCATAGTTAGGAACAGTAGTACCTGATAAAATCTGGTTACGAACGGAGTCGAGTTTGGATGGTAGTCCTTTAAGTGCCATCACCATGAAAAATTTACTCTGTTGTTCGGCATGAGCTGTTGCGTTTTTTGCGTACGGCATGAGGGTTGCGTAACTTGCTTTCAAAACATCAAGGTTACTCAGATAGGTTTGCATATCCATATTTTCCATCTTTAGTGTGTCGAGTTTGAGGATGACACTGTATAGACAATGAACGTCGTTGGAGAAGACTTTCTTGGCCTTTTCCCAAACTTCATAGCAAGTGGAGAAGGCTTGATACTATGCTTGGAGGTTAGGTGCTATGGAGAACCATAACACGGTAAGTAGAGAGGCATCTGTTTTCTTCCATTTAGCAAGTTTGTCGGAGGCAACATTAGTCAATTGTGTGGTTAGGTGATCTTCATATCCCTGACCACGAAACCACATATCGACAGCACGCGCCCATATGTTATAGTTTGCTGATCCGGTCAGTTTTTCACATGGGATAAGAGGAACTTTAGTAAATGAGTCTCCCATAGCTTAATGACAAAAAATCAGGGTTGCTTGCACTAGAGCACCGTTTTCCGTGAGTCGGAAAGTAAAACAGAGGCCGGATCTGGAATGGGTGAGGAGAGGTGAGTAGATCAGCAGAAAAACGGTCGGAATCAGCCGCCGGTCGTGCTGGGGCAGCAGCGGGAAAAAGGGCGACGACCGGATCGGAGGACAGCGACAAAATCGGTTTTTTCGAAACGTCGTCGGAAGTTTTGCCGGAACTGTAACGGCGGCAAGACGGTTACGGGAGAATTTTGAAAAGTGAGAGGCAAACCGGAGTGACAACACGGTTTGCCAAAAAAAAAAAATTTTTCTCACCGGAAGACAGTAGGTCAACCGAGTAAAATACGGCGAAGAAAGAATTGTCTCTTATTAGTAGGCTCTAGATACCATGTTGAAATACAAGAGACTAAGAGACATGAATAAACCGCGTGTTTTGAAAAGCACTACGGAGACATTATTACATATAAATAGATTACAACTAATTACATAATATAGTCGATGTGAGACTATTCTATATACAAATATTCTTAACACTTTACATATATTTACAAATATCAACAATAACTACTCATTTATACAATAAAGCTATAGTAATGGACACCTCCATTTCTTTAAAGAAATGGAGAGAATGGAGAGGATCCTTACTCAACACTTCGGTTATTTTAAAAAAACAAGATACAATTAACGATGTCTTTCCTTTTGTACCCTTACAAAAACAAAAAACATGCATTCAATGAATCTTACTAAATGAATTAAGGGTGAAAATGTTATCTATAATTATTAGTAGTATATCTTAACTGTGGGCCCAAACCTACAATGATTAAAGATTAGGAACAGAGAGAGTAACTAGAATACTAGATTCTTGTTCCATAATGTGGTTTCTATAGATCATTCATATTTTAACCTAATGTTTTAAAAACCGAACCAAACATCGAGCTGGCAAAACCTCCGGGTCATGGTTCAACTGCTTTAAACTGCATGAACTGAGACGAAACTGCCATCAAACTGCTCAAGTAATTGAGCCATATATGGCAGCGAATCACAGTTCAAGCGTCTTGTTTGGTTCGATTTTTTAAGACATTGTTTAACCATTTTCATGTAGTGTATCAAAATTTTCTTACAATTATTTGATTGCAGAAAAAATATAATTATGCTGCACATTGTCATTTTTGTCTTTTAATTCTTTTGCATGACATTATATCTCAAGCAATGATGTTTATATAATGTTTGGAATTCTGCAGGTGCATTCAACCTGTTGGTTAATAATGGAGCAGATGCTGGACAAGTAATATTTCATGTAAGATTTTGTATTTTCTCCATTATTATAAGTAATTTTGTGGAATCAAACATTTACTTCACAAATTGTGAAACTTAATTTATTTTTTTACCATAAAAATGTTCATTTTCAGACTCATATCCACATAATTCCCCGTAAAGCATACGATTGTTTGTGGGATTCTGAGGTAATTTTCTCTTATATCATATTTGATCTGGTATGCATATAATTGTTAGTTGAAAAATGCCTGACCATAATTGGCAGTTTTTGTTATCTATTTCCGCTTTTTATATTATGCATATAATTGTTAGTTGAAAAATGCCTGACCATAATTGGCAGTTTTTGTTATCTATTTCCGCTTTTTATATTATGCTCTAGATGCAACGTGAGTATTAATTGATGATAAAATCCTTTGTTTATATAGAGTTTGCTAAGGCGTCCCCTTAAGTTGGATGATGAGAAAGTTTCTCAGCTTGCAGCTTGTATTCAAGAACAGTTGTTGGCATCAGACATTAGCCAAGATAGTAAGAATGAAGATTTTTGTTCAAGCAAAAGTTAGTGGGTTATTCATCTGTTGTAACATAATATTTTCATTTAGATGAATGTTACATGCTCATTATAATTTAACATTACCCTCAAACTCAATGAATGATTGGTTGGATATTTCTTAACCATTGCTTTTAACTTGGATAAGAAAAATCTCAACTACTCATTTGTTGAATGTGTGTTATTGTTGCCAATATTTTGTGCATTCATCAATTCTTGTGTATGTGTGCGTGTGCAGTCAATTTTTTATGTGTGAAGCTTTACTATAGAGGTAAGACTTTTGTAATTATATGTTGATCTTTCTATGCTCAATATTGTGATATCAGAAAATAATTTAAAATAATTTATACAACTGTATTATTTTTACACTGTTTTCCATACACCATATCATATACTGTATATATTTATAAAGCATAATAATTTTGCACAGGAATCAAAATAGAATTAATTATTAAAAAAACAAAACATGCAAATTTCATGTATAGTATTAAGTTTTAAGTGTTAGAAATCGTATCAAGATATCTTTTCTCTATTTTTTTATTTATTTTAAATCTTCATATCTGATTTTAAAGATCCAAACCATCAATCTTTAAGATTATTTTTTCTCTAATTTATATTAGTTGATGATATCTTTTATTATTTTATGATGGTAAAAGATAGTAAAAATAGATTATTTATTTTTTTCAAAAAATTTAAAAATGTGAGTAATTATTAAAAAAAATATGATTACTCATAATTTACTCATTTAATATTAATAAATAAGAAAAATTATTTGGCCAATTCACTATCAAATCTAATATGGATTTAAATAAAAAACTGATTTAAACGACATTTTATAAAATATTATTTTAAATATTTTGTTATTTTTGAAGCATATCATGGAAGAGATTGAGAAGGTCATGTTCATAATTTACTCATAATTTACATAATTTACTCATAATATTTATTATTCCATATGCTTCCTTAATTTGTAAGTGTTTTTAATAATCATGATACAATATGCTTCCTTAATTTACTCATAATATTTTGCTATTCCATAATTTACTCATAATATTTTGTAAACAAGTCCATCAAATCAAATTGTATCATGAACAATACCTTGTTAATGCGTCCCTACAGCTAGCCACACCATAAAAAAGAAGAGATTGAGAAGCAAGTCAAAGAGTTGTTGGAAGCATGGTGATTAGGCTGAGAAGGATTTAGTAACTTTGGCTCCAATGACTTTGTGTAACTTTAGTTATTTTCTAACATGTTTTTGTGAAAAATAAAATTAAGAAAAATGAAAAATCAAGATGAGAGAGAATTGTAGGTGACAAGAAGGATAGTCACATGACTTTGCCCGCCTTAAAGTTACACAAAGCATGACAATATTAGTGAAAAAGAAGGATTAATGATGAAGGGTGTGTTGATTACCGATCCCTTAATAAAGTCATTTTCATAGATAAATAAATTATTCCCATAGTAATTACTAACCACAATTTGTATTCAAATATATACTTGAAAATTTTGGTTAATCATGTTCAAAATCATAGTTAATTGTATATCTTAATATTATAAATAAGCTGAAACACATTTTTATATTTATTAACTATCAACTAAACTGTGTTAGCTTGTAATATTACTTATCTGACCTGATCAGAAGGGAATCACTGGACCGTCACGCGTCTTTGATCTACTGCCTGTTTACCGGTGATAGGAAGGAGGAGGGAGTGTACCTGCAAGACACTCTGATGCCAAAATGAGACAGGACCAGAGTGAAGCAAATACAGAGAGAAGGTGTAGAGAATAGAATTGAATACCTGGCCCTCTAGTGAAAGAGGGTATTTATAGTGAGACCCCAGCACAGGGTCAACGGTCACTTGTGTTGGGCTGGATTGTCAGACCCAACCCAGGTGACTGTTAGGGCTTACATGGCGTAGTGAAGACCATCACGTGGTCTTCGCCCTAGTTCAACCGTCCCGTGATCTCCGGAAGGTGGGTTGACCAACTCTCGCAGAGGTGGGTGGTTGGACGAGGACGTGTCCCCGCGGAGGGGAGCACGTGGAGAACGCGTGGATGACACGTTGTTCTGCTCGAAGGAGGGAAGGTTCTGCCCGCGGAGGGTAGCGTCTGCTCGACGGAGAATCCTTGTGCTCGACGTAGGTGGTATGGGCCTGCTTGGGCTTTCCCAAGTAGCATTGGGCTGGGCGTGCCCGGTCAAGCCGGGGTCCAGTCCAGAACAGGAGCCCCCCAAGTCGAAGCTCGAGGAGAGGGAGCGAGGACTTGATGACGTTATGTCGACGTAAGAGGTATGCACGGGGAGAGGTTTCGCCGGAGTGAATTTCGCGAGGACGTGTGAGCGTGGTGTCTCTAGGCTGCGAGGCGTATAGGTCGAGGACACGTCCCCAACGAACGTTGTTGGCGGGGAGACATGAAGCAACGCGACTGTCAGCCTACGCCACGTGTCAAACGTTGGATGGGCCATGTGCGGCGGTTACCCTAGGGCATTCAAATGCCTAGGGACGCTTCGAGTCCCGTGCTGGGGTATAAGTAAGCGGGTTCCTGCTCATTCATCATTTCCACTTCTGCTTCTTTTCTTGCGACTGATTCGTTCGTGCCTGCTCGTCGTCACCGCCGTAACAACCGCCGCGCGTTCCGCCTTTACCTAAAATCCAGTAAGTTTTTCTCTCCTTGTCTTTTCTAGTTTCGTACCTTAGAGCTAGCGTCGGGGCGTGTTGAATGCCCCGAGGAGGGATGCGAATCTCTGCCGTCATGTCCTGAGGATGGAGGTGAACATCGGCCGCTATAGATGGTGTTTTTTAGGTTTAGGATGAATGCGCCGAGGTCGTGAGAAGGTGAGGTTTGAATTCCCCGGGGATAGGCACTAATTTCAAATGAACGCCCCGGGGACGGACAGTAGTATTCCATAAATGCCCCGGGAAGGATATTTGTGGGCTGGATGAATCCCCCAGGGACGGTTGTCCCCGTCGCCCTTTCACTTGGCTTGCGGTGGAAGGGTGGATTTGATCTTGGACATCGAATTCACCGTTTCCTTCTTCTTTTCAGGTGTTAATGACATCGTGGATCCCGAGGACCATGGACGAGGATGAAGAGCAAGAGGTTTATACTATCGAGAATAGAGCATGTCCGATCGAGGAGTGGGTGGCCGAGGAACCCCTGAATACACCCTCGTACTTCGCGGATGAGCAGAATGGCGCATTTGCCACCGTCGAGGATAGGCGCGAGGCTGACCCTAAAAACTGGCAGGCATACTGGCCTCGCAAGCACCACCGTATCTGTTCGTCGTTTGGGAAGATGTGTTTCCCCATGTACGAATTTTGTTTCTGCAAAGCCGGGCTCCGATTGCCGTTCACAGTTTTCCAATTGGGGGTCTTCGACTGGTTGCGGTTAGCACCCTCACAACTGCACCCCAACGCTGTAGTCTTCGTTCGGGCGTTCGAGATCGTTTGTCGATATCTGGAGATCGGGGCGACGTTGCCGTTGTTTTTACGGCTTTTTCATCTGCAGCGGTAGACGGTGGATGGTCGGCATGGATGGGTTTCACTAATACAACCGAAGAAGCTTTTTCGGACGTACATGGATTCTGTTCGGGACTTCAAAGCTCGATTCTTTGTTGTTAGGCCGATATCCCATAGAGCGTGCTCCTCGTTGTACAGGAGAAGGGGACGAGTAGTAAATGGGCAGTGGGAGGAAGTCCTGATATCGAAGGTGCCCTTGGAGTGGACTGAGGAGCATTTCTCGAGGGGTACGGACCGATACATAGTACGGACGGGGACCCTAAACGAGGAGGACCTGGCCGGTTATCAGAAGATAGTTGCGTTCGTGGTCGGCCTTCCCCTGTCGAACCTCGTGACGCCCGACGGTAGATATATATGCGATAGTGAGGGGCACGTTTGTCAGAAGCAGAGGCTAATCAGCACGAAGGCTCTGCTCGAGTGTTCGACGGAGGAGGAGGCCCTTAGTTATCTAGGTGGTGGTCGTCTCCCTCTTCCCTTGACCCCTCAATTATTTATTCGTTTGCTGACATCTTTCTTTCGTTTTGCAGGGAGCATGTCTACTGCTGAGGAGAGAGTGAAGAAGTTGGTTGCCACCAGAGTCGCAGTTAAGACCGGTAAGACACGGGTTGCCCAGGTGGTCGGGCAAGCTGTTTCTGATCAGGTAGGCAAGGGTTCTTCCTCATCGCCCCAGAGCAGCCAATCCCCGTCGTCTCAAGGGGCTGCTAAGCGGGCCAAGATTCATCAGCCCGAGGGTGTCGTCGACTTGACGACAGAGTTTGCCGAGGAGGGATTCCTAATCCCGCCGTGCCATCAGCATCCTGACTTCTTTCATGGTGCTAGGTCGCCAACCGTACCGGTCGGGGAGGCAAAGAAGGTCCCCGGTTTGGACCGGGCTACTCGGAGGCAGGTTTTGACCGAGGATTTGGCTGCCATGATGCGGGTGTTCTCGACGGCCTTGGTCCTGAGTGATGAAAGTTGCTCCTCAGCCGAGCTGACCAAGCTGCAGGGTGATCTCACTTTCGCGCAGTCACGACTGACCAAGCTGACCAAGCTGACCGGGGAGTTGGAGAAGAGTCAGGAAGATACCGCTGCGCAGCGCAAGCGGGGGGAGAGTGCCGAGGAGAAGCTGAAGGCTGCGAAGGTGGAGGTGCAGGTGCTGAAGGCCCGCGTGGGGGAGCTGGAAGGCTCTTTCCGTCCTGCCGACGACGAGACGGATGAGGACAAGCTTATGGCCACCCGTGCAGATCTGCTGAGGAGGATCCGGGAGTTGGAGGGTGATTGCTTGGAGGCATTCGGGGTTGGTTTTTCTAGTGTTGTGGACCAGCTCAAGGTGGTTAACCCCGCGATCAGCCTGGTTGTAGATGGGATCGGGCCCTTCCACCAGATCGTTGACGGACGGGTGGTCGATCCTGACACTGAAGTTGCTGGTAATTCTGCCCCTACATACGAGCATGAGGTGGACTGTTCAGAAGATATTTAGATTTGTCCGGGCCTGCGTGCTCGTGGTTTCTGGGCC